GATGTCAATGACTCCCATCTTGAGCAAGAAGGAATAAAACAAAGGCGCATGAAGTGCTTTGGTGAGAATGTCAGCCAGTTGGGAGTGTGATGGTGTGAATGCAGTGGAGATCAGACCCTCTTGAATTTTATCTCGAATTAGATGACAATCTAATTCAATGTGTTTGGTCCTCTCATGAAAAACGGGGTTGGAGGCAATGTGCAGGGCAGATTTGCTATCACAATGAAGGGTAGCTGGTTGAGGATGTAGAATTGTGAGATCAGCAAGCAAGTATTTTAACCAAACAAGCTCACATGATGCAGCAGCCATAGATCTGTATTCGGCTTCAGCAGAGCTTCGAGAAACGGTGGTTTGTTTCTTGCATTTCCATGAGATAAGTGACTTACCAAGGAAGATACAGTAGCCAGTGGTGGACCGTCTTGTGTCAGGGCATGAAGCCCAGTCCGAGTCACAGAATGAAGTAAGCTGATAAGTAGGGGTTGAGGGGAAAAATAATCCTTGGCCAGGGGACTTTTTAACATAATGTAGAATGTTGTAAGCTGCCTGAAGGTGTGGAACACGAGGTGTACTCATGTACTGGCTGAGCAGATTAACGGAGAAGGATAGATCAGGGCGTGTGATGGTCAAGTAGAGAAGTCTGCCAATGAGTCTTCTGAATTCAGAGGGATTATGTAGCAGTTGACCCTCATCTTTGCTTAACTTGAGATTTGGATCCATAGGAATTAAACGTGGCTTACAACCAAGTAAACCAGTATCATGCAAAATGTCCAGAGCATATTTTCTTTGGCATAGCTGAATGCCACTTGAGTTCCGGGCTATTTCCAAGCCAAGGAAGTACTTAAGAGTACCAAGGTCTTTTATTTTGAATTTTGAATCTAGAAATGCTTTCAAGGCAGAAATTTCGTTATGATCATTTGATGCCACAATTATATCATCGACATAAACAAGTAATGCTATAAACGAATGCTCAGATCTTTTTGTAAAAAGACTATAGTCAGCTCGAGACTGAGTGAAACCAAAATGAAGCAATGAAGTGGAGAATTTAGCATACCATTGTCGAGAGGCCTGTTTGAGCCCATATAAGCTCTTTCTTAACTTGCAAACTTTGTTGCGACCTTGAACTAAGTATCCAGGTGGTGTTTTCATATACACTTCTTCATCCAAGTCGCCATGTAGAAAGGCGTTATTAACATCAAATTGTTGGAGAAACCAGCCCTTGAGGGCAGAAACAGCTAGCAAAGTTCTGACTGTGACAAGTTTGGCGACGGGAGAAAATGTTTCATGGTAATCGAGCCCTTCTTCTTGGGTATAACCCTTGGCTACTAAACGTGCCTTGTGTCTCTCAATTGTCCCATCCGAGTTGTATTTAATTTTGTAGACCCATTTCGAACCAATAGCTTTCTTGCCAATAGGCAGATCAGTAATATCCCAAGTTCTATTCAATTCCAAAGCAGCAATCTCATTGTCCATGGCTTTGCGCCAGTCTAAGTTTCTCACAGCTTGTGCATAGGTGCTTGGTTCAGTATGAGTAAGAATAGTTGTAGCAAAAGCAGCATGGGATAGGGATAATTTTGCATGAGATAAAGCAGAAGATAAAGGTAAAGAGGAGCAAGAGATGCAGTACCTGTGACCTTGGAGCTAGAAGGAGAAGCAGTGGGCACAATGACTTGGTGACAGTAGTAATTCTGAAGGTAGGATGGAGGTTTCTTTGGTCTGATTGATCTTCGAGGAGGTGTTTGAGATTGGAAATTAGTGTTCTCAGAAGGGGAAGGGTTGGAAAAATGAGAAATGGTAGAAGGAGATGTGTTAGGAATAAGTTCAGAAGGGGGGGCTGAAGTGGGGGAATGGAGGGGTAGAGAGCTATTTTCTGAAGTGATGTTAGTTTGAAGTGAAGAGGGAATGTCTACTGGAATGAGAGGTGGGAATGAGGCAGGTGAGGGTGATTGTGAAGTAGAGGGGACATTGATATTTTTGTAGGGAAAAATATGTTCATAGAAGATGACATCCCGTGAGTGGAAGATAGATTTAGACTCCAAGTCAAGCAACTTGTAGCCTTTAATGCCAAAGGGATAGTCAAGTAGTAAGCACCTTTTTGCTCGGGAATCAAACTTGTGCCTATTTTGCTTTAATGTAGAAGCATAACATAGACAGCCGAATGTTCTTAAATGAGTACAAGTTGGTTTGGCTTGAAAAAGAAGCTCGTAGGGTGTTTGATTTTGTAAATTGGGAGATGGTGTTCGGTTAATAAGGTATGTGGCAGTTAAAATACAATCACTCCAAAAAGAGAGGGGAATGTTAGATTGAAATTTTAAGGCACGGGCAACATTTAAAATGTGTTGGTGTTTTCGTTCGACAACCCCATTTTGTTGGGGCGTCTCAACGCAACTCTTTTGGTGTATGATACCTTTTTGTAAGTAGAAATTTGTCATTGCAAATTCATTACCATTATCAGAACGTATGACTTTAATTTTTGCTTGGAATTGTGTTTCAATAAGAGAAAAAAAAGATTGGATAAATGCTCTGGTTTGGGCTTTATTGTTCATTAGATAAACCCATGTGGATCTTGAGAAATCATCAACAATTGTTAAAAAATATTTGGATCCATCATGTGCCATTTGGGAACAAGGTCCCCATATATCACAATGAATTAGATCAAATGGTTTTAATGCTCGAGTATCACTAACAGAAAAAGGTAGTCTATGATGTTTAGACAAATGGCAAGTGGAACAAGGAACTTTGTGATTCATTAATTTTAAATATGGCAAATGTTGTTGCAATAAAGATAAACGTGAGTCAGACAAGTGACCCATTCTACAATGCCATAAATGGTGATCATTGGAAGAAGTAACTGAAGCAGAAATGGGAGAACGATTAAAATGTAATTGAGACAAAACAGAAGAGAGAGCTGTGGGGGACACTTCTGTCAACTGTAGGTGATAAAGTCCATTGTTAGCCTCACCCTTCCCAATCGTGCTCCAAGAGAAAAGGTCCTGCACATAACACTCATTATGAAAAAATATCAAGCAACAGTTAAGGTCTTTGGTTAATTTCTGGACAGAAAGAAGGTTAAAATTAAAGGATGGAATGCATAATACATCTTTTAGGGTGAGATTCTTATTGAGTTGGACAGTTCCTTTGTGAGTAACATTGGCATGAGTGTCATTAGGAAATTTAACTGTGAAATGCACTTTTCTGGGCAAAGAAGTGTAAATTGACGTACAACAGATCATGTGATCTGTTGCACCCGTGTCTATGATCCAAGGAATGCTGTGTGCTGATGCTGTGTGAGAGACTGAGAAACAAGATGACATACCAGACATGGTGGAAGCTGAGGGATAATTAGAGCTAACTTGAGGTGAATCAGTGGTCTGAACTTGATTGGCAGCTGGCTGTGTAACCTGAGACCGGAGCAAAACAATGAGCTGTTGATATTGCTCCTTTGTTAGAGCTACCTGGGATTCCTCAGTGATCTGTTCTTGTTTGGAAAGACAGACTTGGTTGGCAGAAGGCTCAGGATCTTTGCCTCGATTGGCAAGTTTATGGCCCGGTGGATAGCCATGTAATTTGTAACATCTATCAACACTATGGCCATGAAGGTTGCAGTGGGTGCAGGTTGGTTTTTCAAGGTGTGGATTGGCCTTGAAGCATTTGTCCAAAGAATGACCAGAAACTTTGCAAAAAATGCAGAAAAGTCTTTCCCTCCTTTGAGAGCCAAAAAATCTGGTGTTGTCTCTGGTGTTTGGAAAGTGACTTTTGGTAGCCAAAGCAAGAGTATCATGAAGGTTGGGAATATTTGAGATCTGTTTACGCTTTTCTTCTTGTTGAACAAGGGCATAAACTTCACTTAAGGTGGGAATAGGTTTGATGAGAATAATTTGGGCTTTAATGTTGGTAAAGGAATCATTGAGTCCCATAAGGAATTTCATCATCCAGTCACGTTGCTGGTTCTCAATCACAGGTTTCATAGCACCACAAGTACAAGATGGGATGAATTCAAAGTTGAGAAGCTCATCAAATAAACCTTTCAGCTTAGAGAAATATAGGCTGACAGAGTCATCACCTTGGGCAAGAGAATGGATGGACTGCTTCAATTCAAAAATTCGTGGTCCATTGTTTTGTGCAAACCGTTGTTCCAACTCAAGCCACAAGGCATGAGCTGTCTCAACATATACAACACTATTCTTTATTTCAAGGGACATAGCATTTTGGAGCCAAGTCACAACCATATCATTACATTCAAGCCAAGGTTCTAACAGGGGGTCGTTTGGGGCAGTAGGTTCACAGAGAAGGCCATCAATGAAACTGAGTTTCTTCTTGATTCTAAGTGACCGACGTACTGTGCGAGCCCAAGAATGGTAATTATCAGTTGTGAGCAGATGGTTTGTAAGAAGAGTTCCAGGACCAT